GGATGGATGGATGGATGCATGGATGTGTGTCTGTATGCATGTGTATGTATGCATGTTTGTAACCATGGATGTATGCATGTACAACTTCTACCTATATATGTATATGCATACAATGTGGTGAACCGCATTTGTAGCTGCTCAAGTTTCTACATCAGATCTTCAAGTTCAGGGTTTAAGGCGTCGGGGACAAAAGCTACGCTGAAGGTACCGCAGAGGGAAAGCACCCCACATCACTCACTCTCTATAGTAGATGCCAGAAAGTTGGAACATGATTATCCTCATGCCTTTAAGGTACAGTATAATGGATAATCCTCCTAAACCCATGTTCCAACTTTCTGGGATTTGCTGTATCCCTGTTCGGGTTTAGGGTTTAGAGGTACGGTGTTTAACCACACGGGCCCAAGAAGCTCCTGGTTTCCTCGCCAAAAAGGGGTGTCGAACACACCAGTTTTGTTTTGCGGCGATATAGAGTTTTAGCGAGTCTTCTTTTAGGGCGATATAGAGTTTTAGGGAGTTTTCTTTTAGGGCGATATAGAGATTTAGGGGTTTAATTAGCACTCTTCGGAAATCTCGCAGCCGCCCGTAATCCCCAACACTGCATCCAACCACCGAATCCCCCGGTAGCATCAAAGTTCTGAGGGTTATAGGGCGTTGTCAACCAAGCGCCCGGAATTAGCTTTGACAGAAGATTCTTCGGGAGGGCCAAACCCTGTCTGAACCGATCCCGTTTTTTCAGTGCATGCACCTTCCAAACATCAATCTAAGCCACAAGCCCGCAACCGAACCTGCCAAGTCCTAACCCTGAAAATGCGACACCCTAAGCCCCGAATCCGAAATTTAAACAAAAGCCCCCAAGAACCTTTCCAAGGTTTGTTCGGGCTGGCAGTGAACTTAAATCCCTGACTCAAATCCCTTGAAACCCTAGCCCTTGAAAACCCCAACAAACAAAGAAACTCGAATACTGCCCCCACCGTAACAGTCTATGTCAGGGGTGATTTTACGGAGTATATATCAGCATCGTATAGACTCATTATAGATATTATCCAACTGTTATAGAGTGGGCACAGTAATTACCCAAAATCAAACTGCTTAAGACACTAGGCGGTACACCCCTAGGGTTTAGGGTTCAGGGTTTAAGGCGGAATATAGGGGCCTTAATAATTAGAATAGGGCTTTGGGGCCCATTATATTATAGTTCCAGTAAGGAGCGCCCCAAAGCAATGTAGGTAGTTTGAAATTATTAAGACCCCTACATTACATCCCTGACCCTCGAATGCTCCTTCCAACCGCTGAGACAGCGCTTCACATCGGTGTAGCGCCGGAGAGGCTCTGACCAGGTTGGACACCGACTCTCCTGAGTCAGGGTATGTGTGTGGGTATGTATGTACATAAGTATTCTATGCATACGTATACATACATATATATATATGTATATATGTATGTGTATATGGATATGTACATATATATATATATATGTGTCTGTGTACTTATATATATATATGTATATATAGATATGTGTATATATATATATACATGTATCTCTCTCTCTCTCTTTCCCTCTCTGCGATGAGGCTTCAGAGGTCATGCAGTGTTCAGGGTCTAGCGTAGCTTCAGCGATCGCCACGTAGCGCTTCTGTTCGGACTCTGGGGAACGTGTCCAGGCCGGGAGTTTTGGGGCTGTCAGGTGTCGAGCTGGTGGGCAGATTCTGGCTGCTCACCTGTGGTGTCCCTAACGATCTTGAAGTCATATGGGTAGTCCTCTAAATTAAGGTCCTTTTGAGGGTTCCTTAAAGGGGTTGCTTAAGGGTGTCTGATGAGTGTTATAGGGTGTATTGAGTGGTATTTTGAAGAGAGGGTTTTGCTCTTTGGTTTGGAACCCCTTCCCTGAACTCTGAACACTCGTTTTCAAATGAGCTGTGCTTGGCGTGGCTCCCTAGCATCTAGTACATGAGCTCTGCTTCTTTCACAAACATACACACGTGCAGATACATTTGCACATCCATATTCATATACATTCTACTATCGTCGACGTATATGTATAAGTACAAAATAATATATATATATATATATATATGTATATATATATATATACGCATGCATACACATACACATACACGTAGATATCAGCAGGCACGAAAACATGCATGTGCACATACATGCACATCTCAAAGTTGCACATACATGCAGACATACTTACATACATACATACATACATACATACATACATGAATGCCTACATGCATACGGTCAATGCGGACTGACTGACTGACTCACTGACTGACTGGCTGATACCATGTGCACTTGTATGCATGTTCAGGCAGTTTAGACATCTCTCGCTCCTCTCTCTTCCCAATGGAGCCCTGATCTCATTGCAGACAAATGTCTGGCGAGATGAACACCGACTCGCTTCGCAGCATGTCGTAGCTGTCCTGCTTTCACTTGACATGAGAAACCATGCTCAGACTTTGCACTCAGTGGCCTCCAGCAAGGCAGCTAGTGGCCTAATCTATCATAGCTTCAGTGCTCCTTAGAGGCTCTGTTGAGAGTTCCGATGAAAACTCCTTCTTGGGTTATGCTAGTCCACGGCTGGGATAATATTGAACATGTAGAGTGTTTTTCTTATTGAGTCGAAGTACCCCCTAGAAGTTTAAGATGCTATCCAAAGATGACAAAGCATAGCGTTTCGCCTCATATGGGTTGGGTGAGGCAGGAGCGCTTGAATAGGCAGTCTCGGCTTAGGATCAGGGGTTTAAGGTTTAGGGTGTAGTTAGGAGGCCTGCTGGCTTGTAGGCAGAACCACTGAGGATCTCAACTCTCTTCTAGCTGCTTCGGTCCCTTCTTACCAAGCCCCGGAACGCCCTGATTGGCCTTCAAGCGAATGCGGCGTACCATCAACCTCAGATTCTACAGGACCCTCAAAGCCCTCAAAGAAGAAATGCGGCCAAGGCTCCCAAATGCGTGGCCCCTGACCATCAGCGAAAAGGAAGATATGATCCTTCACCGCACCGAGCTTGGAAATGCAGCATCTAAGAATGCCAGAAGGGTTTAGGGGTTTGGGGTGCCGTGCCCAAAGCACTTTCTCAGGCCAGTAAGTATACGGTTTAGGGCGGGGGGTTAATCTTTGGGGGTTTTAACGGTCAGGGCTTTAGGGATGAGGGACGCAGCTTGTGGATCGAAGACGTCGGGATTCGAGATTGTGAGACTCAGCTTAAGGTCTACAGCGCAAGGTTCGGTGTCTCGAGGTATTTGCGTACTGTAGCTAGGGGCCTTAATAATTAGAATAGGGTTTTGGGGTATATTAGAGTGTAGTTATACAAAAATAATGTAGGTAGTTAGGTAGGTTTCCAAAGTATGGGCCCGAAACCCAAATTGAATGTGCACCCATATAACATGCATGTATAGATGCATACGAAAGTGTTTATCTTGGTTCTGCACCTACAAACAGATTGCTAACGAAGAATGGGGGGAGACAGCCGTATGCTTAGATATGTATGTATGCATGCACATACATCTATATATATATATACACATAGATATATATATATATATATGCATATAAATATAAATATAAACATAAATATAAATATAAATATAAATATAAATATAAATATAAATATAAATATAAATATAAATATAAATATAAATATAAATATAAATATAAATATAAATATAAATGTATATATATATATATATAAACCCCACACTAT